TTTATGCGCGATTTCAGTGGGATTTTTTTAAAGTATTACATGTTAGCTCCCATTTTTTACTGACACATTGAAAGTGTCCCTTTAATAATAATAATTCAAGAAACATATTCATTGACCATGCAACTGCTACATTACAGCGAGGATTAACGAGCCATTTATCTGGTATTAGTTAAGATAAAACGCATGTTACCAAGCAGAACAGCAACAAGAAATTCTAGATATACTTACCAAATTACAATATCGCATAAAACATAAAGAAGGTTTTCAAATACTAAAAATATTAATCATAAAAATATCATACAACCGAATGTAAATAAGATATTTCCAAATTTAAGAACAAATGTAGTAAATACATTTAATAAAAACTAAGTCATTTTTTATCTATAACGCACTTCTTAATATATGTATATGTTCACAGAAACACCTTAATGATGTAGAGGATATTTTCCTTTGTCTAGACCAGGGATTTCCAAACAATTTGTATTTGCATGGCATCTTTTAAAACAAAATTACTTATGATTTTGCAAGCAAGCTAAATATATAATTAAGAAAGCCATTTACTGATAATTTAGCTAATAACTAACAAGAAAATAAACAATAAACTAAACTATCCTGGTCAATTATTTAGGAAAACTTTGCCCTCGGCAGAACTTTAAATCTGTTGAGATAATAAAAAAAATGGAGGCCAAAGCATGTAATCATTACACACGCATATGTGAGTTTCTGCGTCACATCGGCGTTTATGTCAATTTCGTGCAACGAAAATTAGTGAAACTCTTGAAAGGAAATCCCTTCTCACAAAACAAAATAAAAAAGAGTGCTATCAAAAAGTGGTATCGAGCTCCCGTGAAATTATGAGGAGTAAGTTGAGGAAATGGAAGAAGTTGGCAGTTTTCATCATGTAGTAACGTTTGGAAAAAAAGACATTTATTGGTGATGTGTCGCCTGGAACGCATTATCTAAAGACAGTTTCATGCTGAAATCGTGGATGATGAAACCAATTTTATGGTGTAATATCACGTCTGCATAAGCTTATAAAGAAAGGTCGATATCAGCATGCCACTGGTGAGCCATATGAATACTTGAGCATAAAACTGACTAGAAACACCCTATATATCAGGTATATTTTAAAAAAAATTCTCTGCAAGTAAGGCAAAAAAAACACTAAGACGCAAGTGGTTTACTGAGTGTGAGAGAATATGAGACAAAGTAAAGCCTTATTATGGGAGATAGAACAATAAAAAAAGCAGAAATTAATAAGACAGAAGATAACGATTGATATTGAATATAAATGTTTGAAGATCAAAGTTGACTGGAAAACCAGAAACCGGAAGAGAGTTCCACAAATGAGAAGTGCCAGAGAACAAACAACATAGAACTCACGCTTTACATCTAATCATTTCAACTATAAAATGATAAATAACCGAACATCTAATTCGTATTCTTGCTATTGTTAATCATATTGTTCCTAATGACATTGTCATAAATGAGAAAGAAGTCATCGAGAAAAATGTAAGTATCTGTATATACCGGCTGGAGCGAACTAAGTGAATAAATCGAACTTATACTGATTTTTACTACTTAGCAAAGTGGGTGTTGAGCATAATTTGTAATCTTGTGAGTACTAAGTGTTCTTCGTCTTATGTAAATGGATTAGTCCTGTTACTATATAAAAGTGTAGGGATGTAGAAAACGATTACCTCCTTTTTACTGGATGACTTTACTTCCGTCCTAAGGGTCCCTAGTGGTTCTGAATTTACTTCTGCCCTAAGGGTCCCTAGTGGTTCTGAATTTACTTCCGCCCTAAGGGTCCCTAGTGGTTCTGAATTTACTTCCGCCCTAAGGGTCCCTAGTGGTACTTAATTTACTTCCGCCCTAAGGGTCACTAGTGGTTCTTAATTTACTTCCGTCCTAAGGGGCCCTAGTGATTCAGGGGTCAGTCAGATGGTGAGGTTCGTTTAGTTGCTGTTTACCTCCTGGTTTGTTTTGTTTTCTTTTACGGAATATCAACCTCAATGGGTTATTTAATGCCGACAAGACTTTTATTGCTTGTAATCTTTTTCCAAAAATGTATTGCTGGTAATATTTTTTTCTTCAAAAATGTATTGCTGATAATGATTTTTCCTCAAAAAATTTATTACTGGTATTAAAAATTATTTTTACACTTTCATAGTGTTTTGATCTCAGTTTGGGTGGGGGTAACTCTTTGCCCATAGCTAGGACCCTAACAGGTGCTACCACACCGGGTCGGGGAGAACCTGGAAACACCAGCAATTAAGAGGTGATTTCACGCTCCTCAAAACCTCCTGATCAGAGGCCTTGCTGTTGGATGTAGTTTATCGTCTTACCCAGGACGCGGATGTAGTTTATCGTCTTACACAGGACGGGTTTACCTCCTGTTGGAAGCAGACGCGATAGATAGTTACAATTCGACGGACGACAGAATACCATGCGTTTTATACAAGAACATAAAATGGCATAATTATGGCTGTACATGTGCCTCTCAGTGTAGTTACAAATAAGAACTTTTTCATCTTACACTTTCACATGCTATCTTCTTTTTTCATATATGTTATGATTTATATGTGATACAAATAGTAATGAATATGCATGATATATGTGCACATTTAAGTGTTGTTTATAAAATGTTTTCCTGTAGAACTAACTTTTGTAATGATTCCCGACCTTCCTCCGTCGTGTTAAGGTATTTGCATATCATGGATATACTAACGTTTACAGTGGACTTTGGAGAGTGGAGAAAGCTAAGCGTTTCTTCTCTCTTTGCAAGAAGCCAAGAAATGGTCAATTTTCAATCCCCATTTCTTTGCTTTTTCTATGAATGAAGAAGTTTCTTTCTTTTTCATCATGAAATAACCATAATGAAGGGTGAACAATCGATCTGTCTAGACGCGTTAACAGCAGTAAGTATATGAATGGATTAAATTATCTGTGATTGCCATATGCTGTTTCCGTGCTCTTTCCATAATCTTTTCTACGATCTAATATATCCTCTCTTTCAACGGCGATGTTAACTTTCGTAATAAAACAGAAATAACAGGCAGGTGAATATGGTTTTTGAGAGTTTTACTGAATTTCAGAATGGATGCCTACTTTATGGTCTGTCTGTGGAATCGGTAAATCTTCTAATTTTTGCACTATCAATCGCCAATTTCTCTTGATTGAATTTCGCACACTTTTAACGATCTCTGGTATTCTGCACATTGAAAACCTTCAAGTGACCTGTTCAATGAATCCCTTACATAGATTGACGCATTAATATCAAAATTCTATATGGGGGTCTGCTCATCGAACAATCTCCAAGTACATTATTTAATCATTCGAATATATACTTCGATTGAACTAGATGCTGATCTTCCAGTTCAGTCATTGAGATCGCTAGTCATACAATACGCAATTTCACCCAGTGTATTCTCTTTGACGACTGACTAGCCCTACTAGAGTGTCTTTTCACGCAAGCTTAGCAAAGCTCTTTTCAATTCACAGCCAAATCACACCAGACTAACCCAATAACATAGCCGGCCCAGAAGGATCCGGGGTCCTTTCCATGCTGCTCAGCACTCCAGGCGGTCAACTGATGATTATCTGCTGACCGCTTCGGCTCTTCATCTGCTCTGATCCACGTTGTGTTCTTTGATCAGAAAGCAATGAAGATCAAATTTTCGTCTGTATTTAAGCGCTGAATCGAGTTGTGACGGAACCGTTCTACGAAAAGGACAAAGACTGCTTTCGCTGGTGAAGATACAAACAACGAAGGCTGTTTCATATGTTTTATATAGTCTTAATTAAGCCTTTCCGTTAAAATCTCTATAGTGACACTGTGTTTCTTGCTTCTAAAACTTGGGATGGGTCAAAAACGTTCACACAAGATGGTTGTCGGGAATTCTCGGCAGCTGATCACCTGGGTTTCAGCAACTCCTTCGTTTGATAAGTCTCAGCTCCCGCTTCATCTGCTGGCCTCCACTAAGCGTTCGGTTTACATGGATTTCGCTCGACTCTTACCGCACGTCAGAAGTCATTAATTAGTCATGAATTAATTATTTACTTCAACCCCAGAGACATGATACCGACGCTCAAACAAAGCGTCTAGCTATTTTAAAACAATAATCCCTTCGCCAATAAACTTTGTTTTAACATTCCTTTTGACATTCGGCCGTTTTACCCAAACAATAATTTTGTATTTAAAAATTTCAGTTTGTTTTTCGACTTCCAAAATGTCCGATTTAGAATGCCATTGTTTACGTTGACTTTACTCAAATTCACTTCCCGGCCGACAATGACAATTAAAAATGAGAAATAAAAACACAATGACAAATAATGAATGACAAATAAAAAGCAGTCAACAATTCAAAACAATGATTTTTCCAGATAACAACTTTTTCTGTTTTTGAAATTTATTTAAAACGGCAAAGAAAATTTCCTTGCTTGACAACTTTCCGAGATACGTTCCGCATCATTCTCTGTACATTGCAGAATGTTCACATTCCCCGCCTGGCAACTCTTTTCTGGCTTGCATTTTACATTTATCAAATGTCAGTTTGCTTACATCACTAGCCTGGTTATCAAAAAGAAAAGAGAAAAAAACACTTTTTTTCTTTCTCTCGTTTCATATTTCAGCTCATCTTTTCACTTTAACGATTTTAACGTTTTTCACTCTTCCAATTCTCCATTTCTATAGGAGGTGGGTTCCAAATGAATCCTTTTAAATCCTATTTTCATACTACCAGTGTCACAAGAGGGTCTCAACCCAAATTGGCTGGATACTTGCCGTACAGGTTTCGTACGACATCAATCATTAATCGAAAGCAGCCGAATTGTTTGCATTTCCACTTTTCCTCTGTGCAGCTCTATATCTGCAAGTGTTTCAGGAAACAGATATTGATCTGTTTACAGAAAATATTTTCTCGATCGTCACGAAGACTGTAAACGTGCAGAAGTCAATAACTTGGCATTTCGTAACCAGCTTGATGCGAATCGAGGCATATGGCCACATCACGTTGAAACACAGGTTCCCATACTATCATCGAAGTTAAGCAACGACGAACCTGGTCAGTACCTAGATGGGTGACCGTTTAGTAATACCAGGTGCTGTAAGCTTAGGTGAGCGGGTGGCGTAATAGATAATGACTCAGAATTGTTAATCGAGAAGCCGAGTTGGAATTCCACTTGTGTTTATTATACTCACATAATCGCAAATACCTTTGGGAAATGTATAAATCCACGTCTTCTTCCAGAGCTATGGGTTAATTAGTAAGATTTGTATCCCCAAATCATTATTATTTCCCCGTCGCCACCCCACCTTGTCTTATAATTTTAAAATATTTGCTGACTTTAAATAAACTGCAAAGAGTTGATAAGCTGTAAGAAAACGAATCAGTTGAATCAAATCTAAAATTTCGATCTCGAATGTTACAGGAGGAGGGTGTTTTTAGTGACCCTAATGGTTTTTGTTGCAGCAAAACAAATTCATTATTGGAAGCAAAATGTGAGAGTCACTTAAGTAAAAAAAGAAAAAGATAATAGATGGTGATGGTGATTGTATCTAAGATCGTAAGAGAAGCCAAAATTTAGTTTTGGAGCAAAATACCTTAATTTTGCTGTTGGGTGTGCGGGTGGTGTTATAGTTAAAGTCTTCTAATTGTTAATCGAAGAGCCGAGTTTGAATTCCAGCTGGACCCGTTATATTTAACTTACGCGCAAATACCTCTTCTCCCTACGGTTAGGGATAAATTAGCAAGACTTGAATCACTAAAACTATTATCATCTACCCCCAAAAATAAAATAAAATAGCGTAGAAAATAATTCGATTTTGGCATTAAATGACCTATAAAAGTTGATATACCGCTAAACAAAAACAATCATCCAACAGAATATTGATGCGAATCAAATGTAAAAAAGTATGCAAGATCAAAATCAATGCTCCGTTCAGATTTAGAGGAGTTCAAACAATAATCGAACCTGTGTGTTCTTTTGGAGAATAATTTGAAATAAAGGCAATATTCAGATTTTAATGAATGCCGTATTTTATGTAATGATGATTATCAAGCAGAATAATAGATCAGATATTTCAAAGTTATCTCCCTTTAGAACATGGAGTGGGATTATAGCTCATGACTGATTTCTTTTCTTTATCATATATAAAGTGTCATGACTTATTTGGGCAAGAAATAGAGTGGTTATCCATTGTGGTTTCCACATTTTTTTATTTCAGTGTTTTCATCCTCATAGGGATTCTTACCTTTCTCAAGAGAATGCGTTGTGAATGGAACAAACTAGACTGGAATTTGAACCCGTCTCGCCGATTACACTTTCCGCGTCGGTAATTTTTATGTCACCTGCACAATATAGAGTATACTGGTATTACATGAAATTTTGTATTTTTCGTAAAAATAAAAATATCGAAGGAATGATTAGATCATATGCTCTTTTTAGGCTGTCAGGTGGGATTTGGAACGGTTAGTTTTAATTAATTCATTTCAAAAAAAGATCGCTTTTGATTTTATAATGCGATCTTGCCGTTTTCGTTTTAATTATCAGATTCTGTTTTATTTTAGTTTATTACCATTTACGATATAAGTAAAAAAGAAACATAATGTTCGAGATATTCATTTTAAATTTAAAAATGCAACTGAAACGTAACAAACGCTGTTAATGAAGAAGGTTCTGTAAATGATCGAAAGTGTCAAAAGTGGTTTGCGAAGATTCATGGTTGAAAGCGGTTAAATCAATTACAAATATTTGATATAATCAATATTATACAGTGCGGGCGATCGCCAACATATTCAAGTCAATTGTTGAAAGTATCTTGCAGCATGTGGCTTTAAATAAATGGTAACACAAATTAACAATATTTTACAAAAATCTCGAATAAATTCAGAGGAAATAATTTTAATGTCAAACCAAACTTGCCACAGTTGGTATGTTAACAGACTATTATTTTTAAAGAGTTTCCGTCAAGTTTGTAGTCTTAATAGTTTTTTTTTAAACCGTTTACGAGACCTTGCAGGAGATTAATTATCTTACACCCTACCACCTCTTTCCCATAGACGAAAACGTCGGAAGTCTATCGCTACTTTATCGCTACTTTTATGGTAAATGTCGAGCTATACTCATTAGTTCCAACAGATGAGATGTTTATTTCTATAACCCACCATACCACTTACGCAAAGACGATTCATCCTCATTTCCTTCGTGAAAAGGAAGATCAACTCAAATATTCCCGAGAACCGCTAATTAGGGGAACATACTCCCTAAAGAATAGTTCTACAGAACACTAAAGTCTAGATCCACGCGCTATCTAACCTAAATATCCTCATAATCTACACTTACATGCTCCTCTTGCGCCCATCCAACGTCCTCACCCTATCCCTAACCCTAACCTTCTAACCTACCAAAGGGCTCTCTGGTTTCGTATTTTGGAAAGATTTAGTAAAAAAATGTCAACCAACAACCCCCCCCCCCAAATAGCAACAGCAAATATCTCTTTTCGGTGAGTTCAGTCAAGCATGACAAAGAGTAGAAAAAGACCACATATCAATAAGGAGGAAGGCAGCTTAGGTGTTAGGTTTTGGCTTCTAACTTTTCCACTGATAATTGCCCTACAGGACAATAGCCTAGTGCATTAAATCATTGTTTCGTGAATTTGGAGTTTAATCTCTGTACTTGGGTTCAGTGGAAATTGGGCGAGAAATAAGCGAGAAGTAACAAAAATGAGACAAGATATCCATAGATATGGTCAGTGCGACGAGAAGAGTCTATCTCCGTTTATTAAATAAGTTGTTTCAATTCGGAATTCCCTGGAAATTTGACCGATAATACCTCGATCGATATGCCCCTGATGAAGGCCGGGGAACACAATGACTGAAACGTTGTTTATAACATAAACAAAGGAGAGGATAATGGTCCGAATGTAAATAGTGTAAATAATGATAATTTATCATCAAAGAAAAAATCTTGTTTTGTCATTTATTCTGAATTTCTGAGTTTCTTGACACTCGTTTAAGTGATGGTCTTTGTTTACCGTAAACTCATTTAACAGTACTCTACTTGGAGTGACTTTTGCGCCTTGTATTGCGGGAGCATTTACTCAAAAAAGGAAAAAAAAAAGGTGAAAAATAAGAAAAAAAAATGTGATGAAAATTAAAACTAAGACGTAATTGTAAACTTGGATTCAATTTAAAGCTGTTTCTATTTTTGAAAATATCGAACAATAAAAAAAGAAGGAAAATCCTGGAGCTAATTAGAAATGTAATAGGCCAGCCAATAAGTGGGTGAGAAAGTCGGAAGAAAACATTGGCTTTCAAAAGAATTATAATCGGAAAAGTTTTCGCTGTAATGAAGCGTTATTTTTGACATGATTCTTTGTTAATGGATCATTCTCTGAAGAAATGAGATACTGGTTCAGTGTGCCATGAAATAATCAGGTCGTGCCAGTCCTGACCAATAAATATTCCTTAGCAAATTAATCCCAACTATAGGTTAATTCTTCTTCTTTTATGTGGACTCACTCCCCAATAATTAGGCGTATATGACCGTCCACAACGTTCTATCTTTTTTAGTTATATGCAATATTTGTCCTCTTGCTATCTCTTCCAGTCCTTGCTTTTCCTGTCTCCCTTTTTGTTTTTTCTCTCTCTTTCTTTCGCTTTTTCGTTCTCTCTCTTTTACTCTTCCTGTCGACAGGCTGGGCGAGAGACAAAGTCTATAGCTGCTTTTCTCTGTCATTATCTTCCATAGTCATTCAACTCCACTCCCACATGCTTATGGGTATAAAAATTATACTCTTTTTAAAAGCATTTCAACCCAAGCAAGGTGGAGTGCAGCAAGTACGTGGGGTGGGGGGGTTACACAGATTGAAAGTGAGTGAAAAGACTAGATATAGGGGTGATTGAGTAAAAGGTACAAGATGAACGGGGATCAAAGCAACAGAAGATGGCGATTGACATTACATTTATATTTTTGAAGATTGTAGTTATCAGGGAAGTAAGTAAAAGGAAGGGAATTCAACTGTTGGGAAGTGCGAGAAATAAAATGTTAGAATAGAAATGGCTGTAACATTTAACTATTTCAACAGTAAGAGGGTGGGACCTAGGTGCCAATCTAGTAGCACGCTTAAATTCATGCAGTCGGGGCACCAAGGAAAAAAGCTCGTCAGAGCAGTTACCATGAAAATATTTGTAGAAAAGACAGACGTTGGTTGAAATACATCTATTCCCATATGAGATAATTTTGGATTTTGTTCGGTAATTCGGTATGCTCTGTTATAATAAATTTGTTCGGTAATTCGGTATGCTTTGTTCGGTAATTCGTTATGCTCTATTCGGTAATTCGTTATGCTCTATTCGGTAATTCGGTATGCTCTGTTCGGTAATTCGGTATGCTCCGTTCGGTAATTCGGGATATTCTGTTATAATAAATACACTGCGCTCTTTTTGTGGCTCAGTTTTAATATTTGATAATTCTAGGATTCACTTGGATTATATAACAACCGATTTATTACATGTACTATATCTATCCATCTATCTATCTATCTATAAATATATATATATATACATATATATATATATATATATATATATATATATATATATATATATATATATATATATATATATATATATTTAGGCAGCATAAAAGTGACTTTCGCTGGATTTCGCAGTTGATTTCCATTATTCACAAATTAATTTCCAAGTTGTAAAAATTATTATCGTATAAAAAATTCGCCGCAAAATATCACGTAAAAAATCACCGAAAACAATTGCAGAAATGAAAACTTGAGAATCCAAAATTTCAAGATTGCGGCCAAAAATGTTTTTGATTTGCCCACGGAGTCGGCCTGATTCCAAAATGGTATGATATGGTGGGCTACGACCTCTAGGAGTAAAGTTGAAAACACGGATACTTTTATTTTGAAACACTGTAATTTGAGAACAGTAATTTTTTTTTTATTTAAACATGATCAATTGAAAGTTAGAGAGTTATGTTCCTTTAATTGCTTTTATCAGTAGCCAGTATGGTGGAATCCGAAATCAATCGCAGTAATGAAAACTTGGGAATCCAAAATTTCAATATTGCGGGTCTGAATCCGGCCGGGAA